TAGCACTCACATGGCGATGAAGGCGAGCGTGATCTGCCGCGCGCGGCGCTCGAGGGCGCGGGCGGCGCGGGGCGGCGCGGGGGCGGCGGCCAGGGCGACGCGCAGCGCGTGCAGGCGGCCGCTGCTCAGCAGCAGAATCAAGAAGCGGATGTTGCTGCTCATCCCCACCTGAGAACTCAGCGCCAGCGCCTTGCGGCGAAAAGTTCCCCCTGCGCGTTTTAACCGGAGGCTGTTTCGGGTTTCATTGCAGGTACGTATGACGACTCCTGTTTATGTCTTCCATTGATTCTCAAGTTCATTCACTTACATGAATTCGATTAAATTGTGTATTTAATATAACATCAGTAAAAGAAAAGGTCTTACGAGACGAACTGAGTAGGCGTTGTCCGCGTTTTTAATTGTTATCATATTTTAAGGACAAGCCGACCTGGATGGCCGATGTGTGCAAGAGCGTGTGTCGACTCAAAGCTTTGGTCCGAAGAGTCGCGGGTTCGAGTCCTGCCTTTGGCAATGTTGTTTGTCTCTTGTTTTTCATTATGTGTTGTGCGGAGGGCTTCGTGTTCTGCTGACTCCAGATCAAAGGAGTCCACAAGTGTGTTGATGTGTAGTGCATGTTGGAATATAAGTCCCATTTTCCGCAACTAGGTATCTCCCAACAGCGTAGCATCGCCCCAGCCGGGTCAAACGTTTATTTCCCAACAACTGTAGAAGTGTAGTGCATGTGCTTGTAAGCGAGATAAGGGGTGAGGATAGGACAAGGAAGAGGAAGGAAAGATCGCGCGCGGTCAGTGGACCGTTTGTTAGGGTACTGCTGTGACACTCGCCTGGTGTTGGCCGGAGCCACTATGGAAAACTACCGATAGTACAGACCGCTAGAATTCTCCTGCGGGCAGCCGCTGAATTCGTTCTTTCTACGTTGGCAGGGTCGAAAATACTGCCACCGTCAGGACTCGAACCCTAGGACCTCACGATCAAACGCACAGCGCTGTCTTTATTAGCACATACGTAGTAATAAGGAAAAACTATATCTTCATTTCACGTAACTACTCGTAATTGCATTAGTTGTGTGTTGTCATAATCTGTTATAGTTTGTTCTTATAGGTTATTTCACAAATCAATTTTTTATTGTATAAGCTGTGCAGTGATTCGTTTCAAACTCAACTCGGTTTCTTTCTTGCCGGAGGTTGCAAACGGAGTTGTTCGATAGAGGGTTCACATATTTCTTGCGCATCTCATAAAATTCCTGGTCGCCTCTGTGCTGAGATACATGGCAACAATTGCAGTATGAGTGTATGAGTCATTATTGTTCCTGCAATCGCCGTCAGTATCATTACTAGTAATAAGAATAAATGTACTTAATTCCCCGATAAATAACTGGCGAATGACTGAGCAGTATCATATGAAACAGGCCAGGGTCCACTACCGTTCTTCCTTCCATTCTCATCCTTGTACACACAGAAACGCATGCGCCCTACTTACCCTCACAATCAATAAATTACCGTACGTGTTGGGAAACCAGCCTGATACTTAGAGATTATCCCAATTGGAGCGGTGCACAGTTGGGGAGATACCTGGAGGAAAACCCCTCAAGCTAACGAGCAGGTCTATACCGGATCTCTCGTTTGAACGAGTGGGGGGGGGGAGGCAGGAACTTCGCTACCTCCCGGTATACAACACGCACTGCCCTTAAGGGATGCATGACCGTAGTAATGGATGCTCACTCACCAGCCCGAGGCCCACGTCCTCCGCCACGTTGGCGAGGTCGACGTCCATGTGGAGGGTGTAGTGCGCCATGGAGAAGACGTCGAGAGCCATGAAGAGCAGCATGGCGGCGAGCGCCGGGCCGGCGGCGGGCGCGCCGTGGGAGGGCGCCAGCCCCAGCGAGCGCAGCATGCGCGCGTTGAACGCCAGGGGCAGCGCTGCCGGGGACTGCATAGCGCCCTGGCAAATAGTGCCGCCCTCTAGGAACACTGGATGCGCCGGTTACCTGTCAAGAGGAATCGAAAGAGCGACTAATCGGATATTATTTCTGCTGTAAGATGTGGCATGACAGGACATATCCAGGACAACTAGTGGCGTGGGAGGAAACTATTAGTAAACTTTGAATTTTGCTGTGTAGGTGGTCCTGCAGTATGTAATGAGGTTATCATTGAATTATCATATTCTGACAGGTTATTAGCAGATAAAAATTTGTAATATTGTGATTGAGATGTCAGTTTATAAAGCTAGGTGATTGTCAAAAAGAATAGGTGATTGTCAAGAATATATGGACTATCCAATGATATCCTAATTACTTTGCTGAATATTGCTGTAGAAATGGCGCGATTAAAATCTCCTAAAGGGATTTCGTCAAAGGTTAAGAAATATATTGGTGCAAAAAATAGGATGTGTGTAGCAAAATAAATGGGAAAATGCTAATCAACAAGATAGTAATGATTTTTTCTCAATTGTATAACCTTCGTGTAATGAATCTCACGAGCAAGTTCGAGCCACTTTCATTCCATCTGTCGCACAGCGAGTTGGTCCCTGTGTGGAGAGATCATTTTCATCGACGGCTCTTCCTTGTCGTCGCTGGAATCAATTAAGAAAACGGACGCTATTGTATGTAAAGAAACAGATTAGCTGTGAAAGTTTTTTGTTTGAGAAGTAAGTTCTAATGCCATAAAGAGAATACAAACTCAAGCTGAGTAAGCACAGATCAAAGAAGACGATATTTTAATCTTCGATATTTCAAAACATTGCTTTAAGTACAGACGATTTTAACGATTCTTATTCTCATCCTATGCATGTGTTTTTCTGAGGTCACTTGAAGTTCCGAAGTGTGGAAAATGTTACTAATTGTAATTAAACTAGTATTAGTTTAAACTCATATAACAAGCCCCAGTATACCAATGACGTGATTAAATTTTGAAAGAATATATTTCTTGTGTATCTGGATATTATTCATGTGAAATTGTGTGTTGGCTATTGCATTCCATGTGAATGACAACTTTTAATGTGCTAGCATTCACAAAACAATTTACATTTATTGATTTTTTTCATTAAAAATTATACTACACGCGAACATTTTATAACAGCTTCATTATAGATAGATGCGTATTCTATTAAATTTCTTCCTGTTATTTTAGTTTGAATATTGCTGCAAATGTAGAATAATTTCAATATTTATATGTTCCTTTCCTTAAATTATTTTTGAAATATTTGTACCTGAAGAAAGTTGACATACAAATTTTATGCGCATAAACGAAAACGCTACACTCAGTAAGTTTAGAAAAATAATGCATTACTTGTAGTTTTACATTTATTGGATGAATTTTATGTTCTGATGGAAATCAGAGTTGAACAGTCACGACTTACTATTTGAAAATGAATGCTGTATACCTATTTTTGGTGACTACAAAAAATAATACCATTCATTCTGCGTGAAAAACAATTACAGTTCTAAGTGAATTATTTTATAACACAAAACGATTACGCCGTTTTTGTTTTCATAAAAAAACCTTGTGGAAGTTTTTTGTCCCTATTCCTTCATCGAAGAATTCCACAAGATATCTGCCGAAATCATCGAAATTGTAAAATATTGTAATTAAATTTTGGTGGCATTGACAAATATTTTGAAACTTATAATACATTATTACACATTATGTTAATATCCTGACTATTTCAGTAAATTTAGGCACCCTATTTTTTATTTATCAATTTCTAAACATTTTCAATAACCATGGGGGATCTGATCGATGCAATTCCTACCTTGTAAAAATAATTGCAAACTTAATTTTTACCTGTTACAAAGTAAATAACCAAAGCCAAAGAAATGATTACGAATAGGAAGGGATGAAGATGGATGGGGGGGGGGTTGAGAATAAACAGAAAAGGATACAAACAAGAAAAAAATGGAAGAATTCTGTATAAAAATAATGAACTCTTTATTTGTAATTGTTATTTATTCTGACAATACATAGCAAGAGTCACAGAGATTTGCGTGTAGTTAAGGTACGTTGAACAACTTGAATGCACCTTCGGACCGATCAGCCGAAATGTATGCCTATGGGGAAGAAACTGGTTGCCACCTGTGAACATTGAGACATCGTCATGCCACAACCACACTGCCTTACTTACTTCTCAAGTCCTAAAGCCTCATACTTAATATTGTTTCTCAATTTAAGATAGGTGCGCAATATTATTTTGAAGAAATATATTTTAAATTTATTAGGCTTGAAACCTATCTTCCATCATTGGAAGAATAGGATAAAGAAGATTAGGCTTGAGATATTTATTAAAATATCTTATATGTTCTCATTAATTTTGACATCTGATAATTACTTTACAATACAAATGAGATGTACTGAGGAAACATAAAATTATTGCTTATTCCATTACTAAAAATAAAGTGAAATATATTTTAAATTCCAAGCATTAGAATATGTGTTGTCTAAGATTACGAGTGAGCAAAGTTACAACTGAAAAATTGCTACATGTTACTTTTAACGGAATTTATCAATAATTATTAGCTGAATGGTTTTGGGAAATTATTGATGAAAAATTAACTAATAAATAAAATGAAGATGCATCTAATTAAAGTTTAACTCTTTAGTCACCAACCAAATAAAACAAAATCATTCAAGTTGCTAGTGGTAATTGATCAGGCAATATCCAATATGAATTTTACTTCTGAACGGGGTACTCCGTGGCTGGATGACAGTATTCCGAGAGTGGGATGTAACTTCTGTTCGAGTCTTTCTCCCTGGGTATTTTATAAGTGATATTGTTAAATGTTAGCTTTGAATAAAATATGTGTCTCCAGAGTGCATATACTCCTTGTAATTTTGTGCAATCAGTACATGGGAATTGTGATGTAAACTGACTAAGATTACAAAAGAAATGTTGGCTTTGTGAGTTCATGCCCCCCCCCCCCTTTATGGATATTGGCTGGATATTGATATGCAAGTAGATATATCCATAACAAAGCAATGATGTCGCTGCAAAGAAGAACCACTCACCTTGGCTGCGTTGGTGGCGGCACTAATAGCTCCCTGAGCTGCTGCTCCTGCCGCCTGCGCTCCGGCAGAGATACCCGTCTGCGCGGCCTGCACGCCCGCCTGCGCCAGCTGCCCCCCGACCTCAGCGGCCTGCTGCACAGCGCCCACGCCGGCCTGCACGCCCGCCTGCGCGACCTGGCTGCCGACCTCGATGGCCTGCTGCACGCCCGCCTGGGCCATTTCCGCTCCGAGCTGCGCGGCCTGCACGCCCTGCTTCACCACCTCCATGCCGGCCTGCACGCCCGCCTGCGCCAGCTGCTGCCCGGCCTGCGCCACTTGGAGGGCGGCTTCGACGCCCTGCTGCGCGGCCTGCTGCGCCATCTGCGCGCCCACCTCCATGCCGGCCTGCGCGGCCTGCTGCGCGATCTGCACGCCCTGCTGCGCCATCTGCACGCCCGACTGCGCGATCTCCTGCCCGACCTGCGCGCCCTCCTGCGCGAATTGCTGCGCCACCTGCGCGGCCTGCTGCGCCACCTGCACGCCCTGCTGCGCGGCGTCCAGGCCGGCCTGCACGCCCGCCTGCGCGACCTGCTGGCCGACCTCCGCCACCTGCTGCGCGGCGTTCGCCGCGGCCTGCGCGCCCGCCTCGGCGAACTCCTGTCCGAGCTGCGCGCCCACCAGGGCGGCCTGCGCGCCCGCCTGCGCGAACTGCTGGCCCACCTCCGCCGCCTGCTGCGCGGCCTCCAGCCCTTGCTGCGCGGCCGCCAGCCCCAGCTGCAGCCCCGTGCCGGCGAACGCCTGCACAACCTGGGCGGCCTGCTGCGCGGCCTCCGCGCCCTGCTGCGCGCCCTCCAAGGCCGCCTGCGCGCCCAGCTGCGCCAGCGCCTGGCCGGCCTCCGCGGCCTGCTGCGCCACCTGCACGCCCTGCTGCGCCGCGTCCAGGCCCGCCTGCGCGCTGGCCGACGCGTCCACCTGCTCGTCCTGCTGAGCGGGCGCCGCCACGGCCGCCGAGGACTCCGCCGTGGGGTCCGCCGCGGGGTCTGCTGCGGGGTCTGCTGCGGGGTCTGCTGCGGGGCCTGCCGCGGGGTCCGCTGCGGGGTCCGCCGAGGACTCCGCCGTGGGGTCCGTCGCGGGGTCCGCCGCGGGGGCGGAGGCCTCCTCCGAGGCACCGACGGACGCCGCCTGCGCCGCCTGTGCAGAAGGGCGCCCGATTTCAGGTAACACATACGAATAATAAATTTATACAATCGAACCATTCTATCACGTCCTCGGAGGCTCGTTGGTTAGCGTGCTCGCATTCCACGGCGCGTCTTCGGGCTCAACTCCCACCCCGGCCGAAACTGTAACTGCGCGCTTTCCTTACAAATGTCCCAGAGTCTATTCCTGTGTGACGATGAGGAAACCCACCCTAAGGTCATAACGACCAGTATTTGAGGCGGAGAGATGTCGTGCGAACCGCAACCTTCGCTCATGGTTGAGAGGCAGGGCCACCGCTGATCAACCAAGGCCCGTAGCAGGCTGTCGAGCCAAAAGACAGGACAGGACATTTGTTATACATCATTTATTATTATTGTTGTTGTTATTGTTATTACTATTTGTAGTACGTTGTTTTTTATTACTGTTGAAACTTTTCTTAATGATGGACTTTTCTTAAGAGATGAAAGAAGCATTTGATATCATTAAGGTTCACATAGGATTAATTTTCAGAAATACCAGGAATTAGTATTTAAAATTGTTTGCTATAACACCTCGACGCGTCTTGTATGTTGTGTGCACCTTGTCAAGGGGTACTTGTTTTTACTTATTGGAAGAATCCCAACAAGAGTATCATCCAGAGATCATGCAGAGTTTAAGGTCAGTGATGATTTGTAGTATGTTGTTGTTTAGGCAATATTCTGGTGCAAATAGGATCAACAGGAATTCACTAAAACATAATATACTTTTTCATCTTATCGTACTACTGATACAGAAAAGGGACTGCTTGTCTTAAACGCTTAAAAAGCAATTGTGCTCATGTCTTTCTGTTTAATTTAGGATCGTTTCATTGGCTGTGATTCGTGACCGCGCTTTACTATAATTGTGTTATTCTTAAACTTTTTTAATAAAGCATGCTTTGAGTTATTCGACCAATATATTTATATAGCGTTTATGACTACGTACGGGATAACTGAGAATCATCACTTCGAAAAATTCTTGCTTTCGTGCTATTATATACCCATTTAATTTTGTCACGCCTTACCCTCAAATAATGGGGTTTCGCAACACAAAACCTAACGAGATCTAGCGAAGAGGCCCTGAAAATCCTCCCCAGCACTTCAAGGATGGGACCTTTCTTTCTCCCTGTGTTAAGAATGGTTGAAAATTCCAAAGACGCGCCTGAAAATTAAACATTTATAGCGCATAAATCCGCATGATATCGAGATACAATGTAGTCTAGAGGTGCTATATAAAATTCAAAAGGTATGAGTAGCTAAGGCACCCAATTTCTCAATGAATACCTCCATTGTTTATGGAAAGACATATAAGTCAATGTTAAAATTATACCATCCTAAATTAATAAAATTGTTCGTATAGTAGTCACGTAACAACAGTTTTTGTTATAATTTTCTCGCTTTGGTTTGTATAGTGGTAATGGCTAAGATAATGTATGGTCCCCAATAGTGAATAAATTCTATTCCGTCGAGACAATTTATTTCCTCGGCTTTTTCCACCTTAATAACTAGTTTATTCTAAAATGCGTATAAAATATTATTTTAGTTTCTTATATCATAAATTATAATACAGTTAACAATAATTTTTGTAATTAATTTAATTATTTTTAATTTTTTTTTTGATAATCACTTCAACCGACACAATTTCCATCATTTTTTATATTAATAGTTTCATTACAACTGAGCTTCGTCAGTCATTTTCCGAAACCACCTAATTAGTATTAGTAATTCATAATTCCAAGAAACGTGATTAACACTTGTTATTTTTAATAAAAAAATAAGTTTACTGACTATTCTAAAATATACATTTTTATATTCGACTGAAGTGTAAGAGGGGGATGGGGTCCCACATCAGTGACACAATACAAAGCTATCCCTCGTTCTGTTGAAATCTTTCACGCACAGGTCTGCTGCCGAGTCGGATTTACTTACCGCGATGGCGAACAGGAGAACGGCGAAGGTGGCGAGAATCTTGTGAGCCATGGCTGTGGCTACGGCTATGGCGGCGGGAAGGCGAGATGCAACGAGCAACGATCGTCGAGTGACGCCTAATCAGGCGATGGGCTTGCTTATAAGCACCCTGCGTATGCTCCACTGGCTACGCGCCCCCCCCCCCCACACACACACAAACTCGCTCACCAAAATACAGACACATACACACACACACACACACACACACAAACAGTGTATCCCACGTCGCTACCACCTTCTAAAGACAGATGATGTTACGGTTGCACAGTTTATTGTTACCCAGTAGACAACGAGCACGTCGACGAGAGGGAGAGAAAACATTGCGGCGCAGATCATACGGGATTTCAAGCGCGAAATCGCCTGACAAGTGCGGTAGAAAGCGGAGAAAAAAATACTGCGTATCGGCCACGCCGACGCGATCGAGGCTGGATGGAGACCGCACCTGAACCAATACAAGAGCGTTTCCAAGGTAGCTGGCACCTTCACCAGTTGTAGAAAGTGTCACACAGATTGAACCCATATGGTGGTTTAGTTGCCTCTGAAAATAAATTATCATCTGGTTTATTATTGCAGTTAGTGAAATTAATACAGGAAAAAGCACGAAGTTAAGAACTGTTAAATTTAACTAGATTTGTAAATAAAAAATATGAAAAAACAGTGATATATAAAGAAGCTAAGTTATGATTATCGAAATTATAAGATGATCATTTAAAATTAGAGTCAATTTTCATTTTATTTCTCCTACTCCTATTCCCCCTCTCCTGAATTCTTTTTCTTTACGAAAAATGGCCTTCTACCACGAAGAACAAGATAGTTAAACACAATGCTCATACCGAATTTTGAAAATATTTTTAACTAAACTTGATTATTTTATAAATAACTAAAATGAAATTGCATATTAATAATCACACTCCAGCCAGAAATATCGCATTGTATCAAAAGTTTATGATTCATTCGCTCCACTTCGTGACACCATATGCAGATGCGTTTTTGCACTTCCCTACGGCAGCAATTTTTTTTAAGGGGGGGAGGCAAATTTAGAGAATTATTTTTCAGCTGAAGACAAATTAGAATAACAGCATTATTCACAAGTGTTAATATTTTTATTCATACTCAATAATTGTTTATTATTTTCTGTTTCTATTCGCAGCAATTTGATTTCCCTTCATAACAGTCGTGCTTCTGTATATTTGCGTATTTTTTTTCCTCGGCGAAAGGCGAGGTTGCTGGTTCAACTCACCAGCTCATTCCAACTCTCGAAGGTTTATTGTGAAAAGCAAGGCATTCATTTTTTGTTATTCTGGTGCATCGCGTAGCACACTTGGTATTTGTCACGTGCTGACACCGCCTGTGGAATTTTGAAAAGGGGCGAGTAAAATGGCAGTAGTTTCTCGATGACGCAGTTTACCCCTTGCCCACAAATCGGAGAAAAGTCAAGGGGATTCTTGGAAATTCTCTTTGCAAGAAAGCGAGGGTTTGAGTACTATACTAGCAAGTTTTCTAGATATTCCACAGCGGGGGGTGAGGGGAGAGGAGGGCCCTGGCTACGTCCCAGCTTAAAAGGGCGTACCAACTGTGAGCATGAACTAAGTCACCAAAGTGTGCCACGAGAAAGGCTACGATTGTTTTGAAAGTACGAGATGGTTGTTGCCAGTATTGTAAACTGGTACGTGCCGTTCCGAGTCAAACCTAAGTATCTCAACGTGCCGTGCTGTTCAGCGCTGGGAGAGGATAAGGGAGTTCGTGTATCAAGAAAACTTGAGCGAGTAGTACAGTGGGCATTGGTAAGCGTTATAGCACGACAACAGCGCTTCTCTAAAACCCCGACTGCAGAGCATGGAGAAGATCGGTTCGCGATATAAATCAATTTTCAACAGTTTCCATCTCTCATGGCTATTTGTGAACCAAAATATGTTATCAAAGATATTACATAACATATTACGCTTGGAATAGCAAACGGGAGTGAATATAGAATATTTTTCTGTTGCATAAAAGGACACCGAGAAGTCTCATTAAATCATCTCAAAGAGTTACTTGTCGTGTGAAATTTTTAAACAAATGCGTACCTGCAGTGGAGTGCATGGCTGGAGTGCGTGTTCCCAACGCAACAGGGCACGTGCGCGACTCGTGCGTGGAGGAGAGAAAAGTGCAGTCGCGTTTAAAAGCAGACCCACCCGCTCGACACTCATCACTCGCCGTCCATCCTCGCCTCTCGCCCTCTCGTCGCTCAGCCAAGGCACAAATATTCGCGCGACACCGTTCTCTTCGACGCAGCAGTGACTTCTTCATTTTCATTTGGGGGCCGTGACTCACATTGGATACTAGCGATTCCGGGCGCGTCAACTGCTAAGGTCATTAGTCCCGTAAGTGTTATGCAGGTTGTTGCCCGGGAGGTGCCGGTGGTCTTCCCCTCCGGATGGTGAGATCCGGTGCCGACTTAGCCTTCGGATAGCGGTGTTTCTCACAACCAGGTATCTCCCTCCAGCGGGGAACCGCACAAAGCTCTAGGCTCTCGATCGGTCTCCCGGCATGTGTAGTAGTGTGCGTGTAAGAGTTGAGTATAGGACTGTGAAAAGGTAGGAAAGATGGCGCGCGGTCGGTGGCCTGTTTGTTAGGGTACTGCTCCGGCATTCTCCTGGTATTGTTAGGAGAAACTACAAAAAAACTACCGATCAGAGCAGCCGGCCGCTAAAATTCTTCTCCGAACAGCGGCTGAATTCGATCTTGCTGTTTTGCTAGTGTCGAAATTCCTGCCATCGTCGGTACTTGAACCCCAAGGCCTACCGGTCAGAATCACTACAGTGACATTAGTTGATATTCTGATTCGCCTCTCCCGGTCCATGACTTACCTACACAATTGAACGTACAAGGAGCTTTTACATATCACGGGTTGGGCTCTTGACTCTTTTCAGAATCCACGCGCCCTTCAGCCTACAATCGGGATTAACGCTAGAATGCATCCCCTCTTGACCTTTTCAACTCCGTCGCCTGACTGCATTGGGCTCCTGAGTAGAGTGCTCCCCCCTTTCCCCCTCCAGTTCTGAGATTTATTAAGTAAGAGCATCTTCACTCTGGAGACAGAACTAACCATCTTCAATCTTTACTTTGATATGAGAGCCTTGGGGAAACCGGATCTGAACTCCAGGTAGTGTGTCCAGACGCCTCCAGACCTTGATGCTAACGACATCCGAACATCACCTCACCGAGGAGTTCAGGAACGTCGGAGATGTTGCTACCAGAGTTGAACGGAAATCGTAGGCAGGAGATCCCTGCAGGGATTTCATTGTTGTTGTTTTTTGTTTTTTTCCGGTTGCTGATTATTGTTGTTTTTAACAGTTTTTTCCTCTTTTTCTTAGTAGGCTTAGAGCCTGATCCAGTGATAAACCATCTAACATTGTAACTAGAGAGATTAAGATTAAAAAGTATCCCAAGTTGGAATGAGAAAATATTATCTTTTCATATGATATAGTTTTAGTTCAACAAAGACGATTATGAACATAATGTGATTCCACATAATCCGACACGGATCGCTCAGCCAGTAAAGGAAGTCTAACGTTAATTTTTCCGAAAGTCAAGTTAAGTGAATCCGCACTTACCAGGCCGAGCATGTTTCGCAATAAATCTCATCTCAATTCAAGCAGCGTTGGAATAGGTGTAAATAAAAGTATAGGAAGATCATTTATATTAATTTCCATATTCTCATTTATTTTATTTAACAATTTTTTAGGATTATCTCTTCTTATATATTTACAACATCAAGTCACTTAACATTTATATTATCTTTACACTTATTCCTCTGTTGCATGAATTGAGAACAGATTTATTGCGAAAAATGCTTGGCCTGGTAGATGTGGATTGACTTACCTTGACTTTTGGAGAAATTAACCCAACCCGTTGTTTTGATATGCACATTTATTCTTCCGCAAAGCGCGGTACTCACAAATACGTGAACTTGGCGTGACATTACAGTTTCGATTGTTTGCCAACAGCAGTTCTCGCAGGTCTGGCAGAATAGAGACTCCTCGATTGGGAGAGAGGTTAATGGCCTTGCTTCTCCGCCCACATAGAAAAAAAAATAGTCTGACTTCCGCTTGGCTGTCGAGATTGACCATCTCCTTTGGGCGGTTGAGTTCTGACACGGTTGCAAATGCCCTGCCACTTAGTTTCCGATCTACTCGCACCGGGAGAGGTGGCTCAGGGCATCAACTGATATCACTGCAGCGCCTCTGTCTGGGAGGTTCTAGGTTCGAGTCCCGACGGTGGAAGGATTTCCGACACTAGCTTGTCAGCTAGGTCGAATTCAGTCGCTGTCCGGTGGAGACTTCTAGCGGCCGGCTGCTCTGAACGGTAGTTTTCTGTGGTTTCTCCGATCAACACCAGGCGAATTCCGGAGCAGTACTCTAACAAACGGGCCACTGATCGCGCACGATCTTTCCTTCCTCTTCCTTGTCCTATCTTCACACCTTACTTACGCACACTTATATGCACTATATGCACACATGCCGGGAGGCTGGTCGGGAACTTAGAGCTTGTCCCGGCTGGGGCGGTGCCCCACTGGTGAAAAACACGTTGTTGGGGAAAAGTGCGTTAGCTGACGAAAGGTCGGCGTCGGATCTCACCATCCATCGAGAGAATATTACCGCAATTACAATGAATTATATTTTGAAGACATTCAATGGACAACAAACTTCAAGACGTATGGAAAAGGTCACAATACATGACCAAAACGTTATGATGAAAAATGTTATTTTCGTCTTTTAATATATACTGGTCGTTCAAAGTTATTGTTTTATATTTGTAAAAAAATTCTAGCAGAAATAGATTATTTTCTTAACTCATATCTTCACCAAAGTATAAAATGACGATTTCTGAGATGTGTCGCTTCGATTGTGCATCGTCGATATGAACGGTTTTTACAACTGGAAATGCAGCTGGGAGATCAGATGTGCACGATGGTGTGAAGGGCGCTACAAAGCTATGCGACAGGGTGAACAGCTCGCTGTGACGTGACG